AGTTCCAAATAGCAGAGGAAAGCCTGCTTAACCCACAGCAAAAATGAAACACTACACATCAGCACTGAGATGATCTTTTTTGTGATATTAGCTATTAAAATACAATTGAATAATTTTTTTTCAACCGAATAAGTTTTTAAATCTTAATGTCAAGTGCTAGTACTTGAGAGAAAGGCAGTCTTGATTAGAGGAAGAAAAGGTAGGTGGATGCTTAATGGTGGTTTGAAGGGATGTGCTGAGTGCTTTCAAGAGCTTTTAGGATTTGATGGTACTTGTTCTTCAGTCTAATTTCACTGAGGAATTAAGCTATTTCCACGTCTGTGACGGGTGTAACATCAGCGCTGCTCTTATACTTAGTAACCAGGGCCCACAACCAGAGCCAATTTTCCGCTTGCAAATGGAGACAGTTACATTTTCCAGTATCCTGAGTATGGAAGGGGATTTAGGTGGATGTGAGTGAATGAAACAGAGCTGAGGGTGCTAAAAGGTAAGGTGGTAAAAGAAAGGACTTTAATGCTAGGACTGTAAAGTCTGAGGAGGGACCAGGACCAGAACTAGGGTGAGACAAATGAGGGACCTGTGGTGCCCATCCAACACTTGCTTGAACCGGAGAGCGAGTGCCTCTTCAAGTATTGTGCCCTGTGGCAGTGACTCCGAGGTGTGTCTGTGTGAAAGAGAGCAGCGAGAGCACGGAAGGACTCATATTAAGGCTCTAGGAATCCCAGTAACAGGGTTCCGGGGTACAGGAGTTCAAACCTAAGCAAAGACTCTAAAGGTTGCCAGTCAGAACCCAGACCATATATGCTAGGAGAATAAGGTTCAAAAACCAAAGAAGACTAAATATTGGAGGTCAAGAAAGGCCTCACAGAAGAGACTTGCGTTAGAATCAGAGGGCTCCTCTCAGGGGCGCCTGGGTGGCTTGGTCCTTACGCGCTTGCCTTCAGCTCAGGTATTGATCCCCACCCTGTTCCTGGAATTGATCCCTGCGTCCAGCTTCCTGCTCAGTGGGAAGTCTGCTTTTCCCTCTCCCTCTTCCATTCCCCCCCTCCACGCTTGTATTCCCTCTTTTGCTCTGTCTCTGTCTCTCTCTCTCTCTCTCTCTCTGTGTCAAATAAATAAATAAAATCTTAAAAAGAATATTAAGTGTTTTCAAATGTACTTATAAGTAAAGCAGATACTGAAAACGAACCCTCATATACCCATTAACCACATTCAATAACTATCGAGATTTAGCTGATCGTGTTTCAGCTATCTCTTTTTTCTCTTTTTCTGTCCTTTCTTTCTTTTTTAAAAATTTGCTGGGAGCGCCTGGGTGGCTTAGTCGGTTAGGCATCTGCCTTTGGCTCAGGTCATGATCTCAGGGTCCTGGGATCCAGCCCTGCGACAGGCTCCCTACTCAGTGGGGAATCTGCTTCTCCCTCTCCCTTGCCTCTCCCCGCTGCTCTCTCTCTGTCTCTCTCTCTCTCTGAAATAAATAAAATCTAAAAAAAAAAAAATTGCTGAAGTATTTTTTTTTTTTTTAGAAACACAAGGAGAGAGGGAACACAAGCAGGGGGAGTGGGAGAGGGAGAAACAGGCCTCCAGCCGAGCAGGGAGCCCGATGTGGGGCTCGATCCCAGGACCACGGGATCACGACCCGAGCTGAAAGCAGATGCTCAATGACTGAGCCACCCGAGCGCCCTGGCTGAAGTATTTTAAAGCCAGTCCCAGGCATCATGTTATTTCATCCCTGCTCATTTCATAGGCATGTCTCAAAGGTAGACATTTTCTTGTATAACCATGCTGTCATGCTGTCTTACAAAATTAATAATTCCTGGTGCACCTGGGTGGCTCAGCCATTAAGCATCTGCCTTTGGCTCAGGTCATGATCCCAGGGTCCTGCTCAGCGGGGAGCCTGCTCTTCTCTCTCGCACTCCTCTTGCTTGGGTTCCCTCTCTTGCTGTGTCTCTCTCTGTCACATAAACAAATAAAACAGTTAATAATGCCTTAATAGAATCTAATACCCTAGTTCATTATAAAAGTTACCAGATTATCTTAAAAAATAGTCTAACAGTTGGTTTTTTTTTTCATATAAGAATCCAAACAAGGTCCATCCATTACATTTGGTTATGATCTCATTTATTCCCCAGCTTTATTGAGGTTGCTATAGACTAAATGTTTATGTTGAACATATGTTGAAACCTAGCCCCCCCCCGCATAATGGTAATAAGAGGTGGGGGTTTGGGGAGGGGATTAGATCATGAGAATGGAGCCCTTATGGATGGGATTAATGCTTTTTAAAAAGAGACCCCAGAAAAGTCCCTCACCCATTTCACCATGTGAGAACACAGCAAAAAGAGTGTCAGGGCACCTGGGTGGTTCAGTCAGTTAAGCATCTGCCTTTGGCTCAGGTCATGATTTCGGGGTCCTGGCATCGAGCCCCACATTGGGCTCTCCACTCAGCGGCAAGTCTGCTTCTCCCTCTACCTCTGTGATCTCTCTCGCCCTCTCTCAAATAAGTAAGTAAAATCTTAGGGAAAAAAAAAGAGAGGGAGAGTTATCTATGAGCCAGAAGCAGGCTTTCAGCAGATACTTAATTTGCCGGTGCTCCAATCTTAGAATTCCGAGACATAAATTTCCGTTGTTTATAAGCCACCTAATGTGTGGTATTTTGGTATAGCAGCCTGGATAGACTGAAACAAACTATAATTGACAATTCAAACTTGTATGTATTTAAGATGTGTAACTTGGTGATTTGATATACTTATGAAATATTCTCCACAGTCAAAGGGGAGAGGGGGAATGTGGGAAAAGTTAGTCAAGGGGTACAAAGTTTCAGTTATGTAAGATGGTTATTATCTCTCAAGTCTTTCTTTTTTTTTAAGATTTTATTTATTTATTTGACAGACAGAAATCACAAGTAGGCAGAGAGAAAGGGGGAAGCAGACTCCCCGCTGAGCAGAGAGCCCGATGCGGGGGCTTGATCCTAGGACCCTGAGATCATGACCCGAGCCGAAAGGCAGAGGCTTTAACCCACTGAGCCACCCAGGCGCCCCTCTTAAGTCTTTCTTAATCTAAAACAGTCTGTACCCCACTTGTTCTTTTTCAAGCCATTGGCTTATTGCAGAAAGTGGGTCAGTTTTCCTATAGAAAATCCCACATTGTGGATTTGTCTGTTTGCTTTCTTATTCTGTCATTTACTTTGTTCCTCTGTACTCCATATTTGTCTATAATGGACGTTAGCTTTAGAAGTTTGATGATACTCAAACTCAACTTTTTTTGTCAAGAATACTTCACAGAGGTTGCTGTGTAATTCATTTTGAATCACATCTGGAGGCACAGGTCTATTAACGCATAGGTGATACCTGATTCCTTCATTATGATGTTTTATCTAATGGTCAAATCTATCGACGATTATTGGCAAAATTAATTATTTTACTAGGAGTTTCAAAATGGTGATTTCCTAATTTTATCTTCTACATTAATTAGTTTCTGAAAGTAAACTTTCTGTCATCAACTATGGCTGTAGGATTACCTTTAAAGGGAAGGCAGGAGAAATGCTTAATTCTTGATCTTGGACTTGATTGACAATTTTCAGAATAAAGAGTTGGTGCCCTAGTTATTTTCAGTGATATCTAATGAATTGTGTTTTTTCTCTATCATTGTGAACTCATTTTTTTAATGTGTTCAATGGGTTTCAACTGATTGCATTCATTATTCTTGTTAATGCTTGAATCATCCTTTATTTTACCAGAACTTTGCCTCTTATATTCCTAAGACACTACTCATTAGGGTTCCATATTTGCTTGAATTCTGGCACAAAGCTTACATGTATAGTTCTTGCCCCAAACCTGCCATTTCCCTAAGAAGCTCTAGTTTATTTATATTTTCTCTTTTTATCAACAGCTTTATTGAGGTATAATTTACATAGCATTAAGGTATACGATTCAGTGATTTTTTAATACATTTATATAATTGTGCAACTATGACCACAATCCAATTTTAGAATATTTCCATCAGGCTATGAGATCTCTTATACCTTTTCAGTCATTCCCCTTTCCCACCCCTAGCTCTAAGCAACTGCTAATCTTCTTTATGTCTCTATTGACTTATATTTTCTAGAGATTTCATATGAGTGGAATCATACACTATATAGCCTTTTGCATCTGGATGCTTTCATTTAGAATTAGTTTTTTTTTATTGAGATGTAATTCACATACCATAAAGCCCACCATTTTAAAGTATATAACTCAGTATTTTTTAGTATGTTCACAAGGTTATGGAACTGTGACCATTATCTAATTCCAGAACATTTGTTTCATACCAAAAAGGAACTCCGTACTGGTGAGCAGTCACTTTCCATTTCTCCTTCCACTTGGCCCCCAGTGCCCAATAATCTACTTTCTGTCTCTGTGGATTTGCCCACTCTGGATAGTTCATATAAATGGAATGATACAATATGAGACTTTTTGCCCTGCTTCTTTCACTTAGCATAGTGTTTTTTTAAGGTTCATCCATGTCAGAGCATCTATTAGTACTTAGTTCATTCCTTTTTATGTCTGAATAGTATTCCATTGTACAAATGCACGGTCGACCTTGAAAGTAAAATAGTCAGTTATTGTACCATCGAAAGGGGTTTAGTTGGGAGTAGCAGAGGAATTGCATTTCAGGACAAGCCAGCTCTTGCAAAAGCCACAGGCAAGATGGGAGAACAAAAGAGAGGACTGCTTTGTTGTAGACAAAAGGGGGGTGTTGGGAAGGGCCTGTTATAAACAAAAAGTTCACTGGAGTAAACTGGGAGTTTGAAACATAGTGGCTTTTCACTGGCTGAATTGTAGTAGTCTCTCATTGCCTGGGCCGTTGCTGGGCAAGAAGAAAATCTTCCTCCATCCCGCTGGGAGGGTAAAGTAAGTTTCTTACCCTTGGGTCTGCAAAGGGGTACAGGGAGTGGCGTGGCATGAGAGCTCCCCCTTCTGGCTTCCTGGCAGCTTTTTATTTCATTTCATTTCATTTTTAAAAAATAAAGTATGGAACGCTTCATGAATTTGCGGGTCATCCTTGAGCAGCAGCCGGTGCTAATCTTCTCTGTGTCGTTCCAAGTTCTAGTATATGTGCTGCCCAAACGAGCACACATGACTGCATTTTTTTTTAAGATTTTATTTATTTGTCAGAGAGAGAGAGAGTGAGAGAGAGAGAGAGAGAGGGAGGGAGAACACAAGCAGGCAGAGCGGCAGGCAGAGGCAGAGAGAGAAGTTGGCTCACGCTGAGCAAGGAGCCCGATGTGGGACTTGATCCCAGGACCCTGGGATCATGACCTGAGCCGAAGGCAGTGGTTTAATCCACTGAGCCACCCAGGCATCCCACATGACTGCATTTTAAACGAGGTTTCCTTTATTCAGTTTCACAGTACCTTATCTCCTTTATCAGTTGATGGACATTTTAGAGTTGTTTCCACTTTTTGGGTCATATATGGTTACTATATGATTAACCTTTTGAGGAACCGTTAACACGGTTTTCTAAAACAGTCACACGATTTTACTTTCCCACCAGCAGTTTTCTCCCCATCCTTGCCAACATTTGTTTATTGTCCTTCTTCTTTTTTTTAATCATAGCCACCCTAGTGGCTACAGCCACTTTGGAAAACAGTCAGCATGTCCTCAAAAGGTTAAGCTCAGGTTCTGATACCACCCCCCACCCCCCAGAGGCCCTTGTGGTTTTGTTTCTTTCTTTGCTTAACTGGACTGCCTGGACTAATTCTGTAGAGTCTGTCTTCACAGAATGCAGTGTGTAGCCCATTGATGTTTCTCTTCAGTTTTTTTTTTTAATTCTTTCTACTTTTAGGCCTGGCTTCCTAGGTGTCCAACCTGGGGTCAGGATAACTTAGTGGTCAGCCAGTGCTCTTTTTAGAGGTTGTCCTGTTGAAGCACCTTGAGCCAGTATTGTCTTCCACCATTTGTTGATGGAATTATGTGTGGGTTAGGCAGCAGATTCAAAGTTCAGGGAGTTTATGGGTCTTACCTGATGTTTACTTTCTGCTGGGTTTTCTCATGTGTCCTCTGTGTCCATGCAAGGTTTCACATTCAGCCGGGGAAGTGTAGATAACTAGGACCTTCTCCAGTATCCTGAGCTTGAGTGCAGCCTTACACATAGGCATGGCCTTCTATATCACCAGGGAAATGAGGGAGGTTCTCAAGTCCCACTAGGGCTGTCTTGTTTTCTGGGTCTCTCTGGCTAAACCTCTGGCAGCAACTGTTCTGTTGCTTCTTGCCCCAACCAACACTGTGACCTCAGGTAACCATGCTGTGTTTTTCCCTGATCTAAGGAGTTTGCTTTTGTTTTCAATACCCCTGGGCATAGGACTTTCTTGTGCTCATTCCTGAGCAAGTAATTCCCCTCTAGCAGCCAAGTTGTTAGTTTTTATGGCTAGTCTTGCCCTGCCCTTGTAGCTCCAGTGGAGCTGGGAAGGAGAGGGATGGGATGTGAATAGCCTCAGGCTGAAACACCAGAGATTCCCACTGTCCTGACCCAAGGTTCAATAGGTTTTCTTGAACGCTTCTCAATTTATTTAATTTTTGTTTATTTCCACAGTCCTGGGATGGTAGTTTTTGACCATTTTCTACAGTTATATTGCTGTTTTGGCAGGGGAGGATTTGCTGAGCTCCTTACTCTGCCATTCCTGCAGTCCTGCCTAATTTATATTTTAAAAGATTGTTCTGATAACAGTGGAAGTGGTGGGTGATGGGCAAACTGGTGGTCAGGAGTATAGGATTTTTCTCCAGTAGTACTTTGTTATCTGTAAACAGGAATGCAAAATATAAATAGTTGGGTTGGTTTGTCCAAGGGGGGTTCGGCAGGATAGGTTTGGTGGGAAAATCAAGGGGATAGGAGAATTGCAAGTGCTGGTTACTGTCATTGAAGACTCACTGTCCCTGGTATCTCTCCTAGGTAGAGAAGGAAATGAAGTTCAAGGGGACATGGTAGCCTTGGAGAATAGGTAAAAGAGCTGATGGATTAAAGCCTTGAAAGAGTCGAGTAGATTTGGCATTTGGTTTTAGAGGTAGAACCATTCCAGGTATCACGACAGAAAGAGATGATTGAAACAGTTGAGATGAAGAAATTAGAATAAAATATGTCAAGGAGCTGTGAAATATGTATGTTAGATCATCAAGGTGGGGGCATGAGGAAGGCTATCAGGATGAAAAGGTGAAAGGAAAGCAATTAGTATTAAAGTCCTTAGTAAGTGTAGGAGGGAGACACGGAAGTTGACGTTGAACACTGAAATGGTGATAAAATTGAGTAGTATGGACTTTGAGGAAAGAAGAGCTTTTGAGAGGAGATGGTGAAATAATACTTTGGGGATACAGTAAAGAAGACATGAGAAGATGCTAACCTGATCTTGATTTATGGGAAGGGGTGAGTAAAGGAAAATGAGCAGCCACCCATTCAGAGCTCTGCAAAAGAAACAGTAGAATTTAGGACACCCAGAGTTAGGAAGAGGAGATGGAAGCTCAGTGCATGAGCAAAAGCAAAAGTGAGGCCGTTTTAGGAATTGGTGGATAGTTGGGGGTTTTTGTTTGTTCACTCGTTTTACTCAAGCATAGGATGCAATTAGGGGTATAATAGAAGATAATACTGCAATCTGTGTGATTAATGTGAATCTAAAATATAACTAGGGTCATTATTGTTTAGTCAGATGGTATACTAAGGAAACTTTCTGAAGTTATTTTGCTTAGACCTTATAGAAATTTTGGAACTGGTGTTGGTAGTTGGGAAGCAATTTGACAGCTTTGGAATATTTTGACTGCAACAAATGGGAAATTGGCATATATATCTGATAAGCCACTAATGCCACCATTGGAATTGAAATTGACTATGGATCACAATTTTGATTGGAATGTGTCTAGTAGATGGTGATGAATTTTGGTCTTTTTGTAATTAGAAATTTGGAGCTTTAAAAAGGTATTCATTTTTTTTTGGAATACCCATTTTCCATCTTTTCTAGAACCATCTGAAACCCACAATACTTAGAAGACTGTGTAGGATCTGCTTCGTGTGAGGGGTTTGATCTCAGTTGCTCTGACTCTATTTGATATGATTCTATGTCTTGGTAAAGTATTTGGCTAGAAGCATAGGAGAAGAGAAAATGAAAAGCAAAAATGAGACTGAATTGGAGACCTAGAGCTCCGGTTCCAAAAAGCTTCAGAAGATTAACTGCTGTGATGGTGATCTGGCACGTATTCAGTTCTAGCTATCATTTGTTATGAATTGAAAGAACATTGAAATAATTGTATGCTGAGGTGCATAATTGCTGGCAATGGGATGGAGGAGGGGAGTGGTTAGCTGGCAAGGAGCCTTGGAGTTGTTTTTATCTTAATGCTGGATATTTGGTATTGGTCGATAACAGGAGAAAAATTATTTATGATCATGCTGGGGACTCATTACATTGATTTCTACTCTGTAATAATATGAAAGACTTTAGTGGTTACTCTTATTGATGTCATATTTCTCCTTCTTCTTCTTCTTCTTCTTCTTCTTCTTCTTCTTCTTCTTCTTCTTCTTCTTCTTCTTCCTCCTCCTCCTCCTCCTCCTCCTCCTCCTCCTCCTCCTCCTCCTCCTCTTCTTCTTCTTCTTCTTCTTCTTCTTCTTCTTCTTCTTCTTCTTTTTTGTCATTCTGGCAGCCATCAGCAAAGCAATTACAAAAGAGCTATTGCCTGTACAGTCCTCTTCATCATTTGTGACCTGGGATATTGAGCTCATGGGCTGGCAGAATTCCAGTCCATGAGGCAATCTGTGTCATTCTGGTCTAGCCAGGTGAGTAGTCCCTATGGGCTGGTTTCTTGTTCTCTAGAAAAGAACAAACAAGGGGGAAAAAAAGCAAAGCAGCGTAATATGGAAAAATATAGATATGAATCTCAGGCCCTAGAGGAGAAGCTAAGGCCTGGGCCGTAAGCAGCAAAACAGGCGGAGAGGACCCTGGGGGTTGTGTACAAGTTCGATAGAGTGGTATTCATGAAATAGAAACACCAAGAGAATGAAGTCTGTTTTGGGACCTGGCTTGGCTTCAAGAATGAGGAAACTTAGGTTGAACTGCAATAAAAATATCTATGAAGGCAAGGTTAAATACAAAGGAAGTATGCTTTGAAGTTAAAATGGATCGAAATTTAATTGTAACGAAGTGTCTTTTTCCTATGAAATATTAGCTATCTAGAGATGAGAATGATACTGTGAAAATTTCATTAATATTTAAGAGTTAAGAGAATGAATCCTGGCTCTTTGACATACCAGCTCTGTGTTCGTGGGAAAATTACTTACCTTCTCCCAAGCTCAGTTTCTTTACCTATCAGACAGATTAAGGATACTGACATGGTTGTTGTAAGAGTTAAATGAAAAAATACATAACGTGTATCACATGATGCCTGGCACATACTTAGAGCTCAATACATAGTCACCATGATCCGGCAGTGGAAGGGAGAGTTAACGAGATGGATGTTCAATAATGAGATGAATTATTCTTCACAGGTAGGTGTGTAATTAGTTATTTCTTGTCAGAGCAGCTTGCAGTAAGTTGTTTCAGGGTCAGAATCTCTTGGAGATCAGGCTACAAGGAGTGCTAATTAGGCCAATTTGAAGGAGGGTGACTTCCTCTGCTTCCTGAGCTGGTAACAAATTAGGTCTCCCCTGCACTTTCTTCCCAGGATAGGGCTTTTAACAGGAGCATTTTTTCATTAGATTTACCATTAGTGTTTTTAATACTTTGGTTTGTTTGACTAGGAACTTGAATTCGGAGGAAGATGGCAAAATGGTGGACAAGTTAGGTGTCCAGCCCATGCTATCTGGAAGCAGAAAATATGGTAAGAGGGTAAAAGGTAAAGATTTCTCTGTAATGCAGATCACCTTCTGGATGGAATTTTTTTTAAAGATTTCATTTATTCATTTGTCAGAGAGAGAAAGAGAGTACAAGTAGGCAGAGGGAGAAGCAGTCTCCAAGCCTGATGCACGACTTGATCCCAGGACTCCAGGATCATGACCTGGGCCAAAAGCAGACACTTAACCGACTGAGCCACCTAGGCACCCCCTGGATTGAATTTAATCAGCTCCCTTGTCCAGGCAGAGTGAAGCAGAATGCCTGGAGTTGAAGTGTCACAGGGAGCCTAAACAGAGGTCCAATGAGGCTCTCTGGCCAGACTATTCAAGTTGAGGAGGAGGAGGAGGTGGGCTTCTCAGTCTAGATAGCAAAGGAGGACATGGACTATACTTTTATGGAACTGGTTTTGTTAAGCCTAAAAAGGAGCCTTGGAAGAGAAAGTTTAAAGGTACAGGATTCTTGTTGCTGTTATTTCATATTCTGTTCGAACAGTCTCTGATTTACTTTCTTTCCCCTTTTAAGTAGGCTTTATTTTTAGAGCAATTTTAGTTCACATCAGAATCGACCTGAGAGTACAGAGAGTTCCCATATGCCCCCTGCTCCCTCACCCTAATCTCCCTCGTGATCAACATATTTGTCACACTCAAGTAACCTACACAGACACATTGGCATCATCCAAAGTCCATAGTTTACTTTAGGGTTCACTCTTGGTGTTGTACCTTCTATGGATTGTGATGTAGAAGGGCATATATCCACCATTAATGTATTATAAGAAGTAGTTTTATGCCCTAAAATTCCTATGTGGTCTGACAAATAAATAAATCTTTAAAAAATAAAAAAAATTTAAATCAAGTGTACAATTCAATTGTATAATTCAATGTATTGATCTTTAAAAGAACCAGCTTTTGATTTCTTTGATTTCCTCTATTAATTTCCTCTTTTTAGTTTTATTAATTTCTACGCTAATTCTTGTTATTTCTTCTTTTTCCTTAGATCACTTATTTATTTATTTTACAGAGACAGTGAGAGAGGGAACACAAGCAGGGGGAGTGGGAGAGGGAGAAGCAGGCTTCCCGCCGAGCAGGAAGCCCGATGCAGGGCTCGATCCCTGGATCCCGGGATCATGACCTGAGCCGAAGGCAGACTATGCCACCCAAGCGCCCCTGGATCTTGTTTTCTAATCCACTCTAACAATCTCTTTTAATTGGTACATTTAGACCATTGACATTAACGTGATAGTTTTTGCCATTGCCGGTCGAAGGCATTCTTAATTTCTGTTATAGTGTTTTTGATCTCCAGCAATTCTTTTTGATTCTTTTTTAGAATTTCCGTCTCTCTTCTCAAATTTCTTATCTGTTCTGCATGTTATCTTGCATGTTATGCCCCTAGCATGTTAATCATAATTGTTTTAGATTTATGATCTGATCATTTCAACACCTGGGTTTGGTTCTGATATTTGCTCTGTCTCTTCAAACTGTATTTTTTGCCCTTTGCTATGCCTTGTAGTTTTTTGGTGGAAACCAGACATGATGTACTAGGTAAAAGGAACTTTGGTAAATATGCCTATACCAGTGATATACTGGTGAAATGTGGCAGGAAGGGAAGCATTTTATAGTCCTATGATTAGGTCTCAGTTCTTCAGTAGCCTCTGCCCCTGCGCTGTGAACTTGTCTCTCTCAGTTTTTTTCTCCCACCCCTTAGGTGATGCAGGGTGGCTAGAGGGGTCAGGAGTTGGGTGTTTCCCTTTCCCCAGGTTGGTCATGCTCTGATAAAAGCCCAGTAGGTTAGGCTGCCATAAAGTAGTTTCTCTTGAGGGCAGGCCTTGTGAGGTAGAACACAGTGGTCTGGCATGTTTTAGAATGATTACTTTCCTCCCTTCTTGCAGGAATCCTGAGGAGATTTTTCATTAGTCTTCCCTATAAGAATCTGGAGGTAAAACTCATAAAATTCTGGAGGTCCCCATGACTGGGTCTCCGTGGATTTTTTAAAAGATTTATTTATTTATTCAAGGGAGAAAGAGAGAGAGAGAAAGCAAGCATGGTGGGGAGGGGCAGTAGGAGAGGGAATCCAAGCCAGCTCCATGCTGAACGTGGAGCCCAATGTGGGGCTCAATCCCACAACCCTGAGATCACTACCTGAGCCAAAGCTAAGAGTCTGCCCATTGACTGACAGTACCGCCCAGGTGCCCTGTCTCCCTGGACTTGTTTTTTTTTTTTTTTTTTTTAATCTCTCAGGCTTGTCTACTCTGAGCCTCTAGCATTTTATCAATTATGGTTCAGATTTTCCTATACCAGTACTGGTTCTTACAGAGGTTTCTTCTCTGATAAGTTATGATTCTCTGTGTCTGCCTATCTCTCCAATTTTGGGAGCAGTGGTTTGCCTTGTGACTTTCCTTTTCTGACAGATCTAGGAAGAATTGTTGATTTTTTTTTAACACTTTACTCATTTATTTTGGAGAGAGATACAGAGAGCACAAGAGAGAGCGAGCACAAGCAGGGAGGAAGGGCAGAGGGAAAGGGAGAAAGGGAGAAGTAGGTTCCCACCGAGCAAGGAGCCTGATGTGGGGCTCGATCCCAGGACCTGAACCAAAGGTAGACACTTAACATGCCCCGATTTGTTGATTTTTCAGTTTGTTAAGCTTTTTACTTGTTGGGATGGAGTGGCAGACTGGAAAGTGGAAGTCTCCTTTGTCAGGTTTGTTTGTTTGTTTGTGTTTGAGAGAGAGAGAAGAAAGCATGTGAGTGGTGGGGAAGGGGAGGGCCAGAGGGAGAGAGAGAATCTTAAGCAGGCTCCATGCCAGTGCAGAACATGATGCTGGGCTCAATCTCATGACCCTGAGATCATGACCTGAGCTGAAATCAAGAGTCAGGGCTTAGGGGCACCTGGGTGGCTCACTCGGTTGGGCAGCTGCCTTCGGCTCAGGTCATGATCCCAGGGTCCTGGGATCGAGCCCCACATCGGGCTCTCTGATCAGCAGAGAGCCTGCTTCTCCCTCTCCCTCTGCCTGCCACTCTGCCTACTTGTGCTTTTTATCTGTCTGTTGAATAAATAATAAAAATCTTGGGGCACCTGGGTGGCTCAGTGGGTTAAGGGCCTCTGCCTTCGGCTCGGGTCGTGGTCTCAGGGTCCTGGGATCGAGCCCCGAGTCGGGCTCTCTGCTCAGCGGGGAGCCTGCTTTTCTCTCTCTCTCTCTGCCTGCTTGTGATCTCTGTCAAATAAATAAATAAAATCTTAAAAAAAATCTTAAAAAAAAAGAGTCGGGGCTTAACTGACTGAGCCTCCCAGGCACCCCTCCTTTGCCAATGTTTTTTTTTAAATATTTATTTATTTCACAGGCAAAGCATACCTGTTTTTTCCTTTGGTTATTTGTGTTTTGGTATCATACCTATGAATTCATCACCCAATCCAGGTAATGAAGATTTACACTCATGTTACATTGAGGTCTTTGATCCATTTTGAGTTAATTTTGTCTATGATATGAGGTAAGGATCCAACTTCATCTTTTGCATGTGACTATCCTGGGTCCCTTGAATTTCCATATGAATTTTAGGTTCAGCTTATAAATTTTTACAAAGAAACAACCTTAAGGAATTTCCTTAATTTCATTTTTAGATTGTTTTTTGCAAGTGTGCAAGTTTATAGGAATACCACCATTTTTTGTATATTTATCTCATATCCTTGCACCCCTGCTGAATTCATTTCTTAGTAGTAATTGGTTTTTAATGGATTTCTTAGGATTTTCTACATACAAGACCACATCATCTACAAACAGATACTTTTACTTTTTTTTTTCCAGTGTAGATGCCTTGCATTTCTTTTTCTTGCCTAATTGCCCTGGCTAGATTCTTCAGTGTGATGTTGAATGCAAGTGGCAAGAGTAGACATATTTGTCTTGTTCCTGGACCTAGGGAAAAGCATTCAGTCTTTCACCATTAAATATTATGTTAGCTGTGGGTTTTTCATACATGCCCTTTATCAAGTTGAGGAAATTCCCTTTGCTCCTACTTTTTTGAGTGTTTTATCCTAAAGAGGTTTTGAAGTTTGTCTGTTTTCTGTGTCTATTGAGATGGTCATGTGGGTTTTTTTTAACATCTTAATTTTTTTTTTCAGTGTTTCAAGATTCAGGTTTTTTTGCACCACACCCAGTGCTCCATGCAATATGTGCCCTCCTTAATACCCACCACCAGGCTCACCCATCTCCCTACCCCCGTCCCTTCCAAAACCCTCAGTTCATGTGTTTTTTTTTTTCCTTTATCCTGTTGATTTGGTGTTTTACACTAATTGATTTTTGGATGTTAGACAAACATTGTGTTCTTGGGATAAATCTTACTTGGTCAAGGTTTATAATCCTTTTTAGTTTGTGTGTATGTGTGTGTGTGTGTGTGTGTGTGTGTAGTCATGAGAGATTCTGGTCTGTAATTTTCTTGCCTAGCAATGTCTTTGGTTTTGATATGAGGGTGATATTAACCTCATAGACCAAGTTAGGAAGTGTTCTCTCTTTTGTTTATTGGAAGAGTTTGTGGAGAATTGATATTACTCTTTCTTAAGTGTTTGGTATAATTCACTAGTGAAGCCACCTGTGTCTGGGCTTTTCTTTGTGGGAAGCATTTTGATCACTACATCAATCTTTTTACTTATTTAGATGTGTTCAGATTTTTTAATTTCTTCTTGAGTCGTTTTAGTTACTGTATGTATTTCTAGGGATTTGTCCATTTCATCTGGGTTATATAATTTGTTGACATATAGTTGTTCATAGTACTGCCTAGTAATCTTTTTGCATTTCTAATGTGAGTAGTGTAATCCCCACTTTCATTCCTGATTTTAGTACTTTGAGACTTTTTTCCTTTTTTTCTTCATCAGTCTAGCTAAAGGTTTGGCAGTTTTGTTGATCTTTTCAAAGAATCAACTTTTGATTTTATTGATTTTTCTCTTTTGTTTTTCTCATCTCTATTTTATTATATTATAGTCTCATCCTTATTATTTCTTT